CACAGTCTATCAAAGGAAGCAAATCATTAATTTACGTCAAAATAGTATATAAAATTATGCTATTGAATTAAAGTAGCAAGTCTAAATTCCAAGTGACATTTGTAATAAAATAGTTACTTCAGTCCCTTCCTGGATTGCTTGATACAAGTAATATGAAAGTGAAAGGGGGTCAGGAGCTCAAACTAAGTCAGATATGTGCTATGAGCCGCCTGGTGTCCTACTTTTAATTACAATTACAGGTTGGTCATCGAAAACATCGTCGACACAGAAATGATAAAATATATGACTCTAATTATAAGACGCCTCGTTATTGTAATGAGGTATACATATTAGTTGCGCAATTCTAGAACATCATGTAGTCAGCAGATCGGTAACCTATCACAAACTCGAATTTTTTTTTACGAAATAACGTTTCGAGTTCTTAGGTTTTCGCGATTGTTACACATAGGAAATGAAACTGTTTTTCCGGATTTAAATCGTGTATATTTGTTTTTTCAAAACAAAGTTTGTTGTTTGAAAAAACAAATATACGCGATTTAAATCCGGAAAAACAGTTTCATTTCCTATGAAATAACGTTTGTTCGAATTTTCATTACACCGAAAACCGAATTATAACGAAACCGTTACTCTTTCAGGATATGTTGGATGTTTATCGCAAAGACACGATTATGTTCGGTTAGGTTAGGTTAAGTTACGGCCTTTTGGCTAAGATCAAAGAGTAGGTTTAAAGGAAAAAACATTTTCCTCTCAAAATTACTTTCGAGGTTATGTAAATTCGAGCAAACGTTACTTCTGGAAAATGTCGTTTCGAACTACTGACAGGTAACCCGGCAGATCTCAGCAGACCTGCTCGACATATGCGCTCGTAGCAGATCTTTGTAGTGTGTGACTTTTTGCTGTCAGCGCCATCTGTGAAAAACTTATGAATGTATCTTCACTCAGTCAGACAGATAGAAGGATGTTTTCTTTCTGTTGTTCGATCTTCATATCAATCATAATAACAAACCGTTGAAGTATATTTAAACGATTTCAGAAGAAGGAGGTTCTTAATTCGAATGTTTTTTTGTGTGTATGTTATTCGATTACTCCGACACTTAAAAAACCGATTTCGATGATTCTTTATTTGTTGGAAATGAGGTACCTCATAGAGTTCCCATTCTAATTTGAAAACTATATTTCACCTCTAAGGCTCGCAAATTAGAGGATGAATTCACCTACTCTCCTTTAACCGATTTCAATAAAAAATTCCACAAACTTTTGAAGTCGTTATTTTACAAAAAGTTATTACACAGAAATCATTGATATTTATTAAAATAAATATAAACAGTAATTATATAACTTAGTAGCAGTAGAGCTCCTTGTGAAAAAGTTAGCCCAGAGAAGTACTGCCACCTTACCTATTTCTATCGCCAAGCAGCAATGCGAGCATTATTGCGTTCCAGTCTTCAATTACAGGCACATGGGACTTTTCAACTTATGTCTCATAGTGACAGGCGCGATCCAGTGCCTTTTGAGCGGCGCTTCAACTGTTATGGACAAGCGTGACGTTTACCACCAGGTGCACGTCTTGTGCGTCCCGTCACTTACCATCATTAAAAAAATACAACACCATTTTAATAAAAACAGTCTGAATCCTTAATCTCTAAAATAGGAGATGGATTTACTCCATCAATCTAGTACAAAGTGCGTGGTAAAATGCCATTTATATTATTATCTTCAGCTTAAAAGACATTAGCGATTCAGCACAGCTGCCCTAATGCGAATATTGCCTAATACATAACCATAGCTCTTCCGCAATGCGTTTAATCGTAGCGGTAAATTGTGCGACGAAAATAGCTCACTTGCTATACGAGAACTGAGTAATACCATTATATATTTTTCAGTATTTTGTGTTGTTTTATTGATATGTTTCAAATTGAAACTGATGTCTTCAATTATACTACTTTTACTACTTTACTGCCTTTGTGGCCGAACGGTTACGGTCCCGGGTTCAATTACCGGGCCGGGAAAAACATTTTAATACATTTATTTAGGCCTTTTCAAGACGATACTGAATAGACATTATTTAGGTGTGCATGCTACATCGCCGACCTCATCGTCGCTTTCAGTCGCTATTTCCCAAAAATAAGTTACGTTATTAATTCCAGTGTACGATACATTCCCAGACACAAAATTCGCGCCAATTTCCATTTTCAGTATTTTTTTATGACACCAAGTGAAGGGACGGATAAGTCGTGCACTTGGCGGTAAGGGACACGCCTGTTTATATCGCAAAGATTTCAGGGACACTGCACCTGCGCCCGTCACCCTGAGACGTAAGTTCCCCACGCACTTGTAATTTCACTAGCAACCTTCAAAATTGACACACGGTAATGCTCATAATACTGCTGGGCGGTACATTTCTACCCTATATATAGTTAGTTGAGGTGTAAATAACAAGGTGGCAGGACTTCCCTGGACGACCTCTATCACAAGGAGCTCTACTGCTACTAAACGAGAGGTTGGTTTTTAGCGTGTGAGGTAGATGACAAATGCATTGCTTATATTGTAAAATAAGCTCATAGACCCCTGACGTAGTTAGTACGGAACACGAGAAAATTTTATTGAAATATATGAAAGAAAGAACTAAAGAAACATTTATTCAGCTTAAGAAAATTGAAACAAAACCGATAAAACAAATTAAGAATATATATATTATAGATATAAGCTGAAACATCCAACTCAGCATATGTTACAGTTCGCCTGCTGTAGGGCTGGTTTTCAGGTGGAACCGCTTTTACAATATTAGATGGCACGTAAGTACTAGTGTGGTAAATACTAAAATTATAAAATGTAACTTAAATATTAACTAAAAACAAGTAGAAAAATTACTAACAGGAATTATTACATGACTTGAATGTATATAAAATACTACACTTGTCAGGGATTATTACATGAATTTAATGTATATGAAATACTGCACTTGACCATCATTAAATCAGCCGACAGACGTCCACTGCTGTACATAGGCCAAAGATTTCCATGCTGACAAAGACAGAGAGAATGTATATAAAATACTTTACATATCATATAACTATCGAATGAAACTGATTCTAACGTAGTAAATCTTTCCGTATTCTAACCGTAAATCAACGTAGTATACTTCATTGGGAACTATGTGATTTTTTTGTTATCGAGCGAAGTATCGCTTACCACCGGCGCACGGTTATTCGGTCGATCACTTAGTATTATAAAAAATAATAAAGCCCTTTTTTAGCGTTCCTCTAAATGTGCCCATGGGTTTATATGATATGATACAATGCAATAATATATATCACGATGTTACGATACTCAGTGGTAAGACAAGGTAGTTCTGGCTGTATAACCGCGTGGAATTATTGTAACTACTCGCGAACTGCAGATACGCTTCTGGGAAATGTTTTAATCCCATTTACAACTTGTTCCATTGTTCAGATAGAGGATTTTAAGTTTGAATGCGTTCTGAATTTAAACTTTAGTCCGTACGTGCGGTTGGCTAATATTATGTTGCACGGGTTGAATGTTTAAATAGCTTTGTGAAGGATTTTCAAGTTTCTCAAAATAATTGAGTATTCTTTCAAATGTTATCAAATAATGTTAAATTTCTGCACCGTGAATTTCATAAGTAGGTATTGTAAAGTCTTCAGAATTTTTTAGAAAAGTGATATCTGTTCCAAAACTTTTTTTTCACAATCAAATTTAAGATTGCCAGTATCACCTCTACAATGAAGAAGTTTCCATTTATGTATCGAAAGCATTCGATTAAATATTAAAAGAAGATTCAGTAATTTGGCATTATTTAACTATTAAAGTCATTGACTTACAATTATATGGACGTCGGGTCCGCGCTAAAAAGTGTCCGAACTTATAGGGCGTTAAAATCGTATACATAGCGTCATTCACGCTCTAGTCTTCGTTTGTTCGACTGACAGCGAAGCAAGCAAAATTAGACAGTACTGCGATGACAATACAATTTCAATTCAACGTTTTAGCTCTTTCATATTCCTTGAAATGTCACTACGTTTAAATAGGTTGACTTGGGACATTTTTTCGTGGTTTTTGTATTAGACCCGTCGTCCATTTATTTGTAAGTCAATGATTAAAGTGACACTTTTTGTCAAACAATTACGCCAGAGTTGAGATGCATTAACGCTGAGACTTCTAGAATGCTATTTGATTTCGACTAAGACTTCAAAAAAAGGAAGAGTTGCTCAATTCGACTGAATGTATTTTTTTTTGTATGTTACGCGATAACTCCGGCAAATTTGTGAACCGGTTGTGATGATTCAGTTTTGTTGGAAACAGGGTACCTCAGAAGTGATCCCATTTAAATTTAAAGAAAATATTCCACCTCTAAGGGTGGAATAAAGGAGTGACTTTTGAGGTTGGTTTTTTAGTACTCTGTACAACGATTATCATATTATCAAAGCTTTGTTTAAACTTCGTTCGTATTATAAATCTCAGCCATTCTGTTTAGTGGTACAGGCTTTCCAGAAACTCATGATTGCTAGAAATTAAAAAATATTTGAGTAACACTGCTTAATTGAAATAAACTTTATTGTTACGACGCATTCACACTTGGTCGATGTTTTTTTTAAATTTTATGTCATGCAATGGTAGATCTACAGCCAGTACGCTTTTTGTCAAGTTAGTGCAAAATTAAAGATTTTCTTTCAGCGCTTTAACTGTCAATTACTGTAAACCATTTAAACGATTTAAGCCTTGTGATTCTTCCAATTTCCATTTTGCAGTTCGAAATGGAACCTTCAATAAGTTAAGCCGATTTAAAATTATTAACTTAAGGGTCCGAATTAACTTTTGACTAAAACGAAATTTCGGCTCCAAGGCTTTATAAAGAGGATAACTGTCAAATTAGGGGTAAGTAGAAGATGGTAGATAGTATGTACATCACATGAAACGTAGCAGTTACCTTTTTATGCGTAGATGCCGTGGGATCCCGCAAATTCATCACTACGACGCCCCGGACCACCTTGGTTTCCACCAGGGTTCCCCCAGATGGTTGAGACCGTGAAATGCGGGCAAGGAATCCCGGTCGACTGGCCTCACTAGGGGATCAGGCGAACAGCGAACTGCGTTCGCCTTCTTCCCCGTCGACTGCGCTGGAGTTGGTTCGCTGCGTCTTCACGCACCCGCTTCTTACGAGATCACCTCCTCGCAGAAGGCCACAGCATCCCACGATTCCCCGCTGCTCAGCATGGTCGTTACCACGCTGAGCAGCGAAAGATTCCCCCTAAAATCGCAGGTACCTGAAGAACGTGACCTATAAGGTATTCTTAATGAAATTATAATTATAGCAAGTAAATCCAGTAATGTACGTACATAGGAATCCATTATTACGGTGAATGATGTTTCGGAACATGATCTCTAGCTACTTTTGTAAACAGAAGTAGATTCAGATTTTAAACATCTATAAAATGGCATTGGTAAGATGTCAAATGAAATCAAACAAACAAATGATATTTTAATATCGCGGAATGCCACGCAACGTAGTATATAATAATATTTAGTATCAACAGAGCTTCTTCTGAAAGAGTTAGTTCAAGAAAGTTCTGCCACCTTACCTATTTCTGCCGCCAAGCATTATTGTGAGCATTACTATGTTCCAGTTTTGAAGGGTACTGGTGAAACTACAAGCATATGGAACTTGTCAACTTTATATTCAATTTTACGAACGCAGTGGCTATGCCTCTTAGATTTTTGCGATTAACGGCCGCTTTCTATATTCAATCTCAATCCATAATTTGCTATCTAAGCTTGAATAATCAATCTAAATCCTATTTTTACTATTTCAATAACCGATCGATAGACCGTTATTCCGATCTTTTGTTTCAATCCATCTGTGGGAGTATGGCATTTTTAGATTGACATTTGTATGGTGGTGACAGTTGTGCGCTTTCAATATCCAATCCATGGTTTTGACAAATCGGATTTTGCACGTGTTCGATCTATAGTAGCGATCCTCCAATTTTAACCGATTGTAATGTGTAATCGTGTAAAAATGGAAGTTATTTTTAAGTGATATCCACTGTGAACTTGAACATTTGCTCAGTTATCGGACTGGGATAATAGCGATAGCGACCAAGAGCAGCTTGTATCCTCAAGAACGTTTAGGCGTATAAAGTTCATGGTAAGTTTAACTGACGCTGAATTTACATCCAAATTTAGGCTGAACAAAACATCATATGAATTTGTTGTAACTGAAATAATACCGTTTATCAAAGTCAAATCAAAATGGTATTTTTGTAATTTAGATTATTTATCACGTCACGAATATGAACAAACATCAACAAAACATAAATTGATACTAACATTTCGCCGCTGCCGCCGCGCGCCGTCCCTTTTTTCCATCCTATATGGCCGTCCCGCTCGTTTGACAATAAACGTTCCGTTCTGGACAATAGACGTTCAGTTCTGTTCCTCGAAACACGTTATTCTTGCCGTACTTACGGGTTAAGTATTTTATACTTGAAAGTTTGCAATTAATTTATATTTTTGCCAAAGTCATATATATAAATAAATTATTCTTAGAAACATAACCACCGTTTTATTCACTAATTCATGTAATGATCTTTTACTCCGATTGCGTGGAACTAAACGTCAGAGAGGGAGTAAATTTACGACCGATCCTTTTTTTTAAGGGCGCTAGAGCCGAGATAGACATATTGAAATACAGATTCGGCAGCGATCGATGAATCGAATAAAATCTGGATAGAAAACAATCTTAGATTCAGGATCAAATATAGAAAGCGGCCGTAAAAGCTGTAAAAAAAATTACGTGTAGACACGCTATGGGGCCTCTTTTCACTTGATAATCATTGCTCCTACGATTGCACAGATTTATTATCGATGTATTATTTAACATTTTTTATTTTTATGTGAAAGTCAAATGTCATGAATTATTAAAAGTTATGGAACAAAAGTTATTGTTTATGATGTTAGTAATATGGTCCTGGCAGGTTGATAGTATTTTATAAATAACCCTATATAACATATTATTTGTATCGAAAAATCTATAGTATAATTTTTTTACTATAAATAACAAATCGACTGAATTTATACTACCTATGTACTGTTGGCATTAAAAAATTATAAACAAACTATAAAACAGGTTATTTTTTAACAACACTGGATGTCTGTCGCTTCAGTGTTCAGCATTATTTTCAAATAACAGGTAGTAACTTTTCATTCGAATGTAAGGTTTAGGTAATTTAAAACTATTTTATTAATATTTATTGAATACTTAATTCTCTCTCAACAAAACTACTAACAAAATTTAATTTTTCAGTGGTTGCAAACAGTGAGCTTCTAGCGAATACAATATACTCCAATTAAAGTAGAAAGTGCCATTTTTCATGTGGTAATATTTGATCGTAAAGTATTTTAAATACTGTCGGTTTAACAGACGCCATTGCTTGTTGACATATGATCGAGTACGAGTATTTGTGGTTTTCGGTACCCACTGAATTTATTGTTGTTTTATTTTAATTTTGTTGTTTTGTGTTACATTTTTGTTGTATGTCTGCGTTTTTGTTGACGTAGTCTTTGTTACGATCCTGCGTTAAAAGCGACAATGTGAAGTTGAACACCCCTGCATTTGTAATTTTTTTACAGGTCTCGTTTGTTTATATTCTTCTGAATATACACAGTTAGCATTGTACACCCTATCGGAGTATCAAATTGTGTATACAGTGATAGCATTTTATTTTACTTAAAAATTTATAATACACAAAGACACGTAACAAATGAAACAAAGAGGACGCTTACGCAAAATAGAGACTCAACAAAATTTGCTAATCCAGTACATGAAAACAAAATAAATTTTACCAACGAAAGACCACTTTCGTAGTATCGAATAAAATCAGGAATTTGTTTGCATTGTAGTAGCTCGAATAGATATGATATTGCACTTATTACAAATAATTATTCTAAAATTCTTTAAAATTTATTTTATTTTAATATAGTTCTGCGGTTGAAACGTTTAATTCCGTTCATCACGTTCTGAACATGAAATTGCACTCAATGCATGTAAAATTGCACATATTACAAATATTTATTTTAAAATTCAGTTAAATTTATTTTATTTTAAAATCACTCTGCAGTTGAAACGTTTAATTCCATTCGTCACATTTTAAGCACCAATTTTTTATTCCGAACAGTCACAAAGTCATATTTCAGGGCAGCCATTATTTCTGACCTTTCGGATATTCCAATTGTATCAAAGGAAACTCTGGCATAAAATAAGGCTCCGTCTCAATAAAAATGACCGCCAAAAATAAATCTCACCTACCCTTAATAAAAGCGGGGGCCTGTGAATCGTTTTGCAATAAAACCCATTTAAAAAACCGTTTAAATCTCGAGGACATTTCTCAAGTACGGGCCTGTTTACAAATGTAGATTAATTAACAGTAATTTATTACAGTAATTATAAAGAAACGCACGTAATTGGTGCGAGCAATGTCCCAAGATTGGAGGACAATTTTGCCATTATCTACTTTAATGACACGAACGAAATTTTGGGAGTATGTTGATGAGGTGTCCGTGACGAACGGTGACATGATGACGTCACAGACACGACTTTCATACTTACTTTACAATAGAAAGCAGTCAATTGAACATAGGAACAACATATATTACAAGATCATTATTATCCTTCCGATAAATGACGATAACGGCTCCGACTTGAGTATACGATTTCTCACAAAAAATTATGTTTTTTGACGAAACATATTGTAAATTTATAAAATGTCTTGCCATAATAAACTTTAGCAATTTTCGTCAATTAAAGATATACAGAAACCAAACGTTACTAAAACGACCGTTATTGTTTGGCACCTTACGCATTTGGCACATTTGAGAATATTCTAAGTTTTGATTTGTTGTGTTCCCACATAGTTAGGCGGGAAATGGCCAATCCTGTCTTCGACACGTCACGCTACAGACGATGAACTCCTTGCAGATAGTCTACTTTGTGTATTTAATTTTTTAAACTTCTTGCGAATACCCTTTGAATACGTTTACTTTTTATATTTTTTAAACTTTGATATTCTTTACGATTCTTTTGTTTTCATTTTCTTACTGGTATTTATATTGAAAATAGTACTACGAACCTTCTACGAACTAGATTTTTAAAGAAAGTCGAAAAATGTCCATTATTTTCTAGCTATTCACGGTTTTATTAAACCTCTATACGTATCCTGCGTTCATTTGTAATTTGTCCGAGCTTTTATTCTGTAGAGGTTAATTAGTTTCTCATTGCGTGACAAGGACCTTCCCCAAATTTCGCCACTCAATCGTAAGTGGTCTTTTGTGCCGTTTGTAAAGGTTAATGTTTTGTAATAGACACGTTGAGCATGTTATGTGTCAACCCTAAAGGCAACTTGCTGACCAAGACTATATTGCACACGGCACCAATATTCTAGAAATCATGCAATAGAGTAAACTGCAGACGCAGCGCCTCGTGCCGAGTCCACCAGGCCAACGTGACGCCGCGCACCGGCACTTCGATACACACCTCTGTCGGGTCAATTAGCTCTTAGTAATAATTAATTTGTAATTACATTTATTTTTAATTAAATTAGTTTGTAAAATTTTGGTTTTTTTTTCGAGTCCTCCGGCAGCGGCCTACGTAATTAGCATGAAATAAATATTATACAATTGGCCTTGTACAAACGGACTGTTGACATTTGTTATTGAAAATCGTACCTGAACTTCAAAAGTCAAACTTCAAGTAATGAAAACATGGAAAACATTACAGATACGTTGTTCTACTTATAAATCAGAACGACATGCCACACGTTGATACGGCGCGCCATCGCAAGCAACTTAGTAAGTTGAAATCATAGCGTTGCGAGGACGCAAAGTACGCGTGGCCTCGCTCTTTGGCCACAAATTCGCAACTGTGGTGCATTCCGCGGGGCGTTCCAAGATTTGCGTGTACATTGTGTCTTGTGTTGGATGTATCCAGTAGAGCTCTTTTGTAACAGTAGAGCTCCTTGTGAAAATTTCGTTCAGAGGAGTACTGCCACCTTACCTATTTCTGCCGCCAAGCAGTAATGGAAGCATTGTTGCGTTCCGGTTTTGAAGGGTAAGGGTGAAATTACAGGCACATGATGGGACTTGTCAATTTATGTCTCAGGGTGACGGGCGCAGTGGCGCGTTTGTATTAATTTTTTATGATACATTGTTTTTTGGAAGTGGTATACAAAATAATCGTTCATTAAGCACAGACATGTATTCATTATACCTAATTAGTTTTAAATACTTTCTG